TTACCTCAGTCACCTTTTCTGTCAAAAGTGGGCTATCAGTAGGGTATTTTGAATGTAATGACTTACCTTTCACCCCCTGTAGGTATGATCCTTTGTGGAGAAAGAGCTGTGTATTAGCTCTAAATTTGTGATATGAATTGAGCCCCTTCTCTGGATTCTGAAGATTCTTTTCATGTTTTGTTTGTCTGTATATTTCAGTTACGGAAGAGGAGATTCACTATGCCTGTCTATTTCCTAAAATCCATCATCTGTTTTCTCAGTGTTTCTCTCTCTCCTATTTACTCAGCTTCTCTGTTTCTAATGGCTGCTTCCTCTTCACTGGAACCATGCTTTAGTTGTTCCTCACAGGGACTGGGGAGGACAAGTGTGACAAGATGGCTTCTGTTGATGTTTCTGCCGCCTTACATCTTTCTATTGCCAAATATTTAATCTTTTATTAAGTATAAAGGTAAAAGGATAGTTAAATATAAAGAATTCAGATAACATAGAAAGTAAAAAGGCCTTGAAGTTCATCCACAATTCTCCCCATCCTGAAACAGTCCTGATTAACTTTTTTATATATAATCTTCCAGTTTTATATTTTATGATTCGCATACCTTTATTTAAAAAAATGGAATTATACCAAGTGATTTGAAACTCTTATTTCCAACTTTTGTTTTGAAACTGTTCATTTAATATATCATAATAGACATCTTTCTGTGTTAAATACAGGTTTATGTAGTCCTGTGTCCAAGCACACGTTTCAGCAAAGACTCCTTCCCCCTTGATAACAAATGTTTCAGTTGCTGAGGGGGCATAAGAGCCAAGCACAAAAAAAACAGCCCAGCCTCCAGATCCCAAGGAAGGTGCATGCTCAGAGCACTGTCCTTCCACCCAGTCCTCTCACCTGCCACAAGAGCCTTGAGTGTCCAGGCAGCTTCAGCTTTCAGCTGCTCACTAGCATCCAGGAGATAGTGTCCAGGGCCTGCCCACCTCTGGAAAGCAGGCTTGCTGCCCCCTCATTGGTTGGCTCCTGAATTTTTGATAATCATAAACCCTAGGGTCAAAGAGCTAGGTTGTAACACAGTAGGGAGTGCGTTCCCGAGTGCATTCCCCTATGTGGTCACAGGGAATGAGCCTGGAGCAGAGGAGCCCAGCAGGCTGAGGATCTGCAGTGTGCTGGGCCTGGGCTTGGCACGAAGGCACCAGATGTCGGAGGTGTGGCTGCCACCCAGGAGGACACACCTGATGGGGCTCTGGGAACAGGACGATGGTGGAGACGTCACATCCAGAATAACTTTGTTAGAAGACTGAACTTGACAGTCAGGAGTTTTACATTGCAGGTATCAAAAAGCCACCTAAAATTGCCTTAATAGAGGTGATCTAATGGCTCAGGAAACCACCAACTCTACGAAGACAGGATAACCTGAAAGTGGGTTTGACCTGGTGTTTTTCTGCCATTCTGTGCACGGCATCAGCTTCCTCCCAAGACTGGCACCGTATAGGACATCGGGTGTTTGCCAGCCCAGTTGAAGCTGTCTGCTTCCTTGCTCACCACCAGCAGAAAGGTGAGGGCTATGCCCCGCATTCCAGGTGACAGAGGAGGTTTACATGGGGACTCAGTCACACTTTCTGGGGACTGTACATTTCACAGAAGGAGCCAGGTTATACTAAAGGAGTCCTGGCCCAAGGATACCAGCACCCCATAGAGATGGAGAACTTCAGGGAGCTCAAGGACTGAGGGGCTGAGTAACAATGAGCACTGCCCACAGAGGGGTGCCCTGCGGTCAGGAGGGGGTGGGAAACTGGTGCGGATTGGCAGCCGGCAGAGGCCCATCCAGGTGAGCACAGGTGGAGCTGATAGTGGATGGAGACGAAGAGTGTGCTGGTTGGGAGGGGAAGACGGTGGCCTGTAGCTGGTCTGGGAATTCCCAAGCTGAGCAAAGGGTTTGCCAAGGCCTGTGGTTGGGCTTGTTAACAAAAACACCAAACTCTTAAAAAATGGTCTGTAAGAGGTATCTTCTGAGCCAATGAGTGACCACAGTCTGGGGAATCTCAAGAGGTCCTGAAAACGTGTGCCGGGGCAGTCGTTTTCTACATTTGAGGGGACAGGAATTGGAGTAACATCATAAATCCATCCATGGAAGGTATACATTGACTTGGCCTAACAAGGTGGGATATCTTGAAGTCAGGGCATTATAGGTCATAGGTGGATTCAAAGATTTTCCGATTGGCATTTGGTTGAGAGTTCAGCTTTGTCTAAAGACATGAAGTTGGTACAAAGGAATGCTTCAGTTCAGAGAGAGCGTCTGCCTCTGCCATGTGATGCTGTCCCAGAGTCAGGAAGGAAAGTCAACCACAGCATCCTGGGTCAATTTAAAACCCATTGAAGGAGACTCTGTGGTTTCTACGGTGTGTGTTAATTCTTGCTTTGCATGGCCTCAGGTCTTGTTCATAATCTGTACCTGATTGTCAGAATCCATTCTGAATAATCTCACGATGCTTATTTTATACTCCAAAGGTGCAGGGCTCTCATGAGGCTTCTCTCACCTCCCCTTCCATCATGGCCAGGAATTCATTTTTTCAGTTTTCCCTGGGGTCCCCTTGACTGAGTGGGAGCCTGTTCCATTGGTTGGGGTCTCAGGATTGCAGGCCTTAGGGCAGCCTCACAGCACAGTGCAGGGGAGTTGGCTGGATTTTCCTGAACCCTAAACCCCATGGCTTATGGGGTAAGGGAGCTGTGGGCTCCCCGGCTTCTGCTGAGATTCCTTTCCCTAGGTGCAGGTGCAGGTCCGGCCTTGGCCCTTTCTGTTCCTTTCAGAAGCCCACAGAGTGGAGGACAGGACGGTTTGGGGTCAGGGACAGAGGCTCCTGTCACTGAGACTGTCCTCAGTGGGACAGAGGGAAGAGACTATTGTTGCAGTTCGTCTGCCTCTCTGCAGCACTGATGTGTAGGCCCAGCAATTCAAGTCCACTCCTGGCAGCCAGCCTTGAACACAGAACTGATCAGCCACACAGAAAACCTGAAACAAAGCCTCTAAAGTGCAGCCTCTCAAAAACGCTCACCAGAGTTTTCTTAATCAGACTTAGTGTAGCCAGTGAGCTTCTGTTGCCTCCTGTGACGTGGGTGCTATTTCTCCCACTAAAAGCCCAAACCTCTGCCTCAGGAGACAGGGCTCAGCTGCAGCCTCCTCAACCAAATGTGAAGGGCTACTTCCTGGGCAACTCAGAGGCTCCTTAAACTCACAATGGTGTGCAAATCTGTGGGCTCACTTTCTACATCAGATCTTCAAAGGTCTCTGTGATTCCGAAAGCTTGGGAACTGTTAAAATTTGATCATTTCTGAAATGTCCTCCAGTTTAAAAGTCCTCAGTTCCAGTTCATTTTCAATTCCTGAATAAACGGATGAGTCCTGGAGCTTCTGGAAGCTGGCCTGGAACTGAGCACTTGCTGCAGACAATGCCCGAAGCGCAAACCCAAAGGCGCGTGGATTTAGGCTGCAGGTGAAAGCTTCATATTCAGGTCTTACTTTGTGACAGTGAGACATGACCAGGGAAGCCTACATGAGGGGTGGGGGCCAACCAGCAGCCCAGCCTGGGGAGCTGCCTTAACCACATCTCACTTTACTTCCTCAGAGCTAAATTTTTCTTGAAGGGAACTGCAGATTTATGCAAAATACTAAGCAAGCTGAGTGGCTGTTTTATTTTATTTTAAGCAGTAAGGAAAAACAGAAATTTTCACACCAAAGACCCTGTGTTAGTCTCAGAGGAACTGGTGTCGAGACTGAGGAATCACGGAACACCGCTCTCGGAAACTGTTAGGGCAACTGAAAAAAAAAAAAAAAAGAGTAAAGACAATGAAGAGGCTTAATTCTCCCTGTTAAAAAAAAGGGAAGCAGTGTCCTCTCTCCCTTAGAGCATTTTCTTTGGAAAACTTACTGTAAATCTTCCTCTGCCCCTTTGAGGGGCATGCAAAGCTTTCTGACAGCTAAATAAGCCTCTTGCCAGCTTTACAACCCAGGACTGTGTTCCTGAAGGACTGAGAGTCCATCTTTGAAACATCATCATCAGAGCAGCCAGGGCCCTATCGGCCAGTCTCTGTGGGACGGTGGGGGCCTAACATCTGCTGTGAGTGGTAAATCTACCTCCTGTCATGAAGGCAAGAGTTTATTTTCCTTTGTAACAAGGTAATTAGCAAACGCAGGTGGTCAGGTAAATTGAGGTTGAATCTCCGATGAAACGGGTGTGGCCAAAGGTGCTGTGCAGTCCACTGATCTGAGGACTAGGCATTACTCTTCTTGAGAAGGTGTGCAGTGAGCAATGGGTTGGACCCACTGGCTAGACTGGCAATGAGATTTCTTTCTGTCTTTGCAGCATCTTAACGGGTCATTGCCTGTGATGCGCATCTCACTCTGAGTTCACGCCTCTTCAATGATGAAAGTGTTTTCTTCCTCTTCTATCTCTGCAGAGATAGGCTTGCTGGGATAGATTGTTTGTAATTCTATTTCCCTACCACCACAGGACGAACTTTGGGGGTCAGGCAGCTGGGAAGGAACCCATGCCTAGGCCTTTCACACTCTACATCCATCAGTAGCAGAACTTAAGAGTCTTCCTGGGACTCCATACTTCCTGGAAAGAGGAATTCATTCTTTTCATTGCTGACATTCCTGGGTGTGTGTGTGTGGCAGTTATACTTTCCCCATCCCATTCTGTACCTCCTTCCACTCCGGGGACCCCAAGAGGCCTGGCTCCGCTTGCCCAGTGCACCTCCGAAGAAGGGAGACTGGGAGATGAGGATCCTGCCAGGGGGCCAGGTGTTGGACAAGGTGAATGTGAATGTGGAGGAGAAAGACAGAGGCCTCCCAAGAACCTGATGGGGTCGGGGATGAGGTGAGGGTGCTCAGAAAAGTGCTGAGGCAGGCTCCAGGCTGGGGCCATGGACCGGCCTCAGCAGCTGGGGGCTGACTTCTTGGGGTTGCGTTCTGCCTCCCCCTCCCACACACGGCTCTTTGCCCTCTAGAGGCCAAGGGGCAATGGCAGGTTCACAGTGGCACTGCAAGGTTAGGGTTGTTGGGGGTTCTTAGGGAGCAGGGGCACCAGTCCTGCTGTGGCCCTGGCTGCCCCCACCTTGCCCAGGCTCCATGTGCACCCTCAGAGTCCCCCTGGCACAACCTTTCTTCTTCCCACGTGGAACACCCCCACTTCCACTTGGGCCTCTGCCAGGAAGGGTGGGAGCTCTGCCAAGGTGTCCCTCTGAGTGACCACCCTCAGCTGGAGCCACCAGCCAGGCCTCTGCACAGGAGCTGCCCCTGGGCCTTGTGTGTAAAATGGGGGTAATAACAGTATCTGCCTCATAAGGTTGCTGCAAGAATTAAATCAGTTCATACAAGTGAAAGACACTTAGAACCAGCATCCAGAGGCTTGCAAGGGGTGAGCTGGAGTAGCCATGGTAAGTATGGAGAGGGAGGTGAACTGATGGATATAAAATCGCCAAGGCAAAAAATTTAAAAACAAAAACAATAACCAGCTGGGCTCGGTGGCTCATGCCTGTAATTCCAGTGCTTTGGGAGGCACAGCAGAAGCATCACTTGAGTCCAGGAGTTGGAGATCAATCTGGGCAACACTGTGAGACCATATCTCTAAAAAAAAAATAATTATCACTAAGGCAAGAACCTAGTACACTGTAGGCATTCCCTAAGTGTTTACAATTTTTATTCCAATTATATAAAAATAAAATATATTTGAATAGAAACAGAACTCTAAAAGGCAATAACAAGTAATAGTAACTGATTATCTTTTAAAATACTATAAGGTAGGACTACAACTGGTTTCCTTTTTTTTTTGAGACGGAGTCTCGCTCAGCTGCCCAGGCTGGAGTGCAATGGAGCGATCTCAGCTCACTGCAACCTCTGCCTCCCGGGTTCAAGTGATTCTCCTCTCTCAGCCTCCCGAATAGCTGGGATTACAGGCACCTGCCACCATGCCTAGCTAATTTTTAAATTTTAGTACAGATGGGTTTTCACCATGTTGGCCAGGCTGGTCTTGAACTCCTGACCTCAGGGGATCCGCCTGCCTCAACCTCCCAAATTGCTAGGATTTCAGGCATGAGCCACCGTGCCTGGCCTTTTTTTTTTTCTTTTTTATACCATTCTGTGATTTAAACTTTTCGATAATGCACATATATTAGTTTTATAATCAGGGAAGAAAAATCAATGTTTTCTTTAATGCTGAGTTTTGTTAATATTTCTGATATTTCACAAAACATCTTTTGTTGACATTCTACAAATGATACCATCCAATAATGTCCCAATACTTTCTTCTTGTGAAGAGAGTTTATATATCTGTAAAAATGAAAGACAAATTATGACTTGCTGATATCATCATTCACTACTAATTGTCATTATACAAACATGTGTAAGTGAAATTATTCCTCATTCAATTATTGGGTTCATAGTATAACAAACAACAAATGTGATTAAAATATTCCAAGTAGATGGCAATTCATTACTTGTATTCCCTTTAAATTGCTGCTATGGGGGTAACTCTCAAGAACATAAAAACCAAATTTCTATCCATTTAAAAGCACATATCTAGATATTAACTTCATACTAAATTTATTTTACATTTTAAATATACTATGTAAGTTTGATATTGAAAGGTATTCTCGACCGGGCGCGGTGGCTCAAGCCTGTAATCCCAGCACTTTGGGAGGCCAAGACGGGCGGATCACGAGGTCAGGAGATCGAGACCATCCTGGCGAACATGGTGAAACCCTGTCTCTACTAAAAAATACAAAAAACTAGCCGGGCGAGGTGGCGGGTGCCTGTAGTCCCAGCTACTCGGGAGGCTGAGGCAGGAGAATGGCGTGAACCCGGGAGGCGGAGCTTGCAGTGAGCTGAGATCCGGCCACTGCATCCAGCTCGGGAGACAGAGTGAGACTCCGTCTCAGAAAAAAAAAAAAAAAAAAAAAAAAAAAGAAAGGTATTCTCTTTCTTAATGTGGAGAATGGTTGTATCAGCTGAGTTTGTAATTATATTTTACATAAACCCATACCTCCCAGTTCTTTGTATCTAAAATTATTTTTTAGTAATTTAAAAAATTAGATTAACTTTCTCAAAAGTTCAAAAAACAAGGAGCCCTGGTGATCAATAAGCAAACAGTATCAGCATTGTTGCTCATCTGTCACACTCTTTCTAAAAATATGGACTGGCAAACAAACCTTTTGGACTTCCGTAACATTTGTTATCTCAGGAAGACTTTTCAGAGAAACCTGATGACCTTCCACTTGAGATATTAGGTATTCTTGATTTATTTGTTTTTCTCCCTCTTCAATGTAAACAATTAGAATTGAAGTGTCATTTGCTGAGATACCAAATTTTTTCAAAGCCTCTGAAATCTAAGAGAAACAAAATGAAAAAAAACAAAAACAAAAAAAAACAAGATAATTAACCATTGTTTCCTATGTCTGAAACATTTCCTGATCTGCCTTCTTCCTTGGTCAGGCTCTTATTTTTCATGTCCTAAAAGTTCTCACTGCTTAGTTTTTCACTTTGATGATTCCTTTCCAACATCCATTGGTACTTCCTCGAAAGTACTCCCTGCTTCAAGTTACGCCTTGTTCCTATGGAATCAAGCCCAGCCTCTTGGTGCTGCACAAAAGAACACCTCCTCCCTCTGGTGCCAAGTGGCTCTCCAGCCAGGCGCTTCTGCCTCCTGGCCAGTCTGGCCTGCCTGGGGGCCCAGTCACATTTCATGCCCTTCTGCCTGTGCTCAAGCTTTGTCCTCTGCTCGCATGTCCCTTCTCCCCATGGCTTGGCTGCTGAACACATGCTTCAAGGTCCACATTTCTGATGTCACTCCCTACCACACCCTCCTCCCTCCAAAATCAATGGCTTCATTGCTGTACCCCTAGATTTGAATTCATTTTTCCATTATATCATTTATCTCAGGGCATTTTAACTTGTTTATCTGCCTCTCCTCGGGAACATATTTGCCTCTTCTGCCCCTAGAACTGCAAATGGAACAGGGAAAATTTCAACAGACATTTACTGAATTCAAGAGTTTTCTGAATTATGTCTAATGATCTCAAGGAAACAATAATTAGTAAATTTTATTCCAAGTACTGGGAAACTCTATTACCATGCTAAGATAACTGCATTTTATAAACTTTACAATCATCTGTATTTTAACCTATGCCACAGGTTTCGAAACTTTTCTCTAGATGAAATTAGTACCTGGTTGTTATTAATAGCAGCAGTAATACTAAAAATTCATCAGCAAAATTGCAGTCATTTTTTTCATGTGCTACATGTGTGATGTCTTTGGCTTGATAACTTTCATTGAAAAAGCATTACTGGCCGGGTGCGGTGGCTCAAGCCTGTAATCCCAGCACTTTGGGAGGCCGAGACGGGCAGATCACGATGTCAGGAGATCGAGACCATCCTGGCTAACACGGTGAAACCCCGTCTCTACTAAAAATACAAAAAAAAGAAATTAGCCGGGTGTGGTGGCAGGCGCCTGTAGTCCCAGCTACTCCGGAGGCTGAGGCGGGAGAATGGCATGAACCTGGAAAGCGGAGCTTG